GGCCTGAGCACAGTGGAAGTCCTTCCTCTTGAGTTGGACTTGCTCGCCTGGTCCCCCATATTCCCAAATTATCTTGTGTCTTTTCTATTTCATTTGTGTGCGGCTCCACTTCCAGACCCGAACCCTGAACCACGCAGGACGTGGAGGGAAACACTTACGACACCTGATCAGGAATTGAACTGTTACCTCCTGGTTCATAGGTTGACGCTTAACCACTGAGCCACAGCAGCTGGAAAGAACAGCTATTCTGGAAGCCCTGATTCAGGCAGAACCCCAATAGTGTCCCAATTAGGAGGTGAAGGCAAGGGGTATTTATAAGAAGGGGAAGAGGAACAATTATGTCAATAGGAGGAAGGGATTTTTATAGGTGAAGAATACAAAGTGATATATTCCAAAGAATGTTTTTCATTTTCAATCCAATAGTCATAATGTCTGCTTTCCTAGCTTTACAAACAGTCGTTTGGAATGCAGTGCCGCTGTAGGCTCAGTCCAAAGATTATTTTGCCCAGTTTTAACATGCCAAGGGTTTGCGAAAAAAGACATGCAAGGTAGTTCCTCTGGATGGCAACTCTGACTCCATTTTAAATTGACTTCCTTCATATTATATTTTGTATTTCCCCTTTTGATTGAGATCTTTCCTTAAAGCATTGCTGAACAATCATTGGAAAGCAACACTGGTCAGTTATTAAAAGCATTGTTGGTCCTCCAGCATGTCTGTCCCACAAAGGAGCGATAATGGTGTTTTAGGAGCATTAGGCAACACTTGAGCGATAGGAGCATCAGAATAGTGGAAGCCCTTAAAGGCAAACATCTTCTATAGCTTCTTGAGGTTTCTCATATGAAGTCTCATAAGCCTTAGTGATCATCTCAAAACGTTGAGCAACAATTATCAGAGTATTATCTTTATAACATTGATCTATGTAAAACAAGGTTTTGTACAGCAAAAATTCCTATAATAACAAACAAAAAGTTAAGTCCAATTTGAAGAATAAATCTGAACCAGGAGGCAGTACTTGAGGGCAGTCAGCTGAAGCTATTAGAAAACCATGACGTGTCAGTGGGCACTATATTTTATCATTTGGCTTGTGCTCAGATTTTATCTAGTCCCATCCCTATTTTACCAGAAGTGTTTTATCTAAGTATAAGAGGTATTAACAACAGAGCAAACCTCAACTTGTGTATTTAGGATGTGGTCAAGAGCAATCCTATTGTCTAATATAACTTGCACAAGGGAATTTAAAGATTTGTCCTGGTTGGCTATTGCTTTGGCGGTAACTCCAGAAAATCTTCTCTAAGGTTTTTGGTAAGTTTTTAATCAAGTACTTATTCATTGCAATACCTGCTTAAAGAAAAAGTGTTTTTCTAAATCTGGCACCTATACTGGGGTTGGCATCACTAGGCATTGAAGATGCTTGACTACATGTGTATCCAGTTGCTCCTTTTGACCTGTGAAGTAGGTTTGAAGATGATGCCCAATGCCACGTTATCTGTCCAGGCAGAAATTAAGGAAAAAAAAGAAAACAACAATTATTATAGTGAGTGCTTGGCCTCTCACATTGTGAGATAGGAAGGAGCTAAAGTAAGCATGGGAAAGTTACCTTTCTGGAAGGAAAGGTAAATGTTTCAAGTCTGCTTACAAAGGTATACTTTTCCAAACTGCTGTAGGTCATAGGTAGCTTGCGGGGATCGGGGGTTGGGTGTGTGTGTGTGGGGGGAATCTGGAAAACAGATTTTTTAAAGTAATATTTCAAAGATGTCATTAAGTTATAATCATTGTCACCACTTCATTCAGTCCCATGTTATTAATTCTTATTGATCTTGATCTTTTTGTTAGCAGTTTTATGAATCCATTCTGCAAATCTTCACCCAGTTTAATGGTATGATCTGAAAGTTTATTAGAACCCTGTATTTTAGAGTAAGTGTCAGAGTCCTTTCCATGAATTTCTCTGAAGATGAAACCATCTTTGCAGAAACACTTTTGCAAAAGCATCAGGGTAAAATAACAACTGCCTGCAAATGACAAAAGACTTAAAAGATCTGGTAAGAGTTCACAAATACACACACAAAAACAATGCACTGGGGTGGGGTGGGGGCGAGGGTCAATTGGGGGAAAAGGAGAGATATGTAAAACTTTAGACAATGAAAACAATTATAAAAAAAACAATGCAAGTGACTTGGTTATCCATTCTAATCTTAGTTTGACCATACATAAAAAAAATTTAAAAGTTTAATCATTATACTAGTATATTTCAAATTTCCTATCACTTAAACCTTTAAGCATTAATGTTCTAATTTTAAAATAGCCATCTCCTTAAGAATTTGATTTCTAGGTTCAGGAATAGAACTAGAAGTTACTTGTTTTTCCTCCAAACCAGCTGGTCCCTAGAAAGAGCATGGACTCACAAGGTGGGGTTGTAAATGTACAAAAAGTTTAATGCTGCCTCCTGTCTTCCATGACCTTGGTGGGGGAGGGTGGGGAGGATCCTGGGTGTTCCATAAAACAACACCTTTTCTAGGACACCAGCTTTTCTCACAGATTCTTGGAAAAGGTGACACTTTTGTCACTGGATCTTAGTGGTGCCAGAGAAGTAGCCATCACTGAGACAGCCACTGGACCCCTGTTTAACAGAGTAAGGGGGTGCAGTCCTAACTTATAGAAAAGAGCTGGGTATTGTGCTGCCTAGTTGCCTAGGCACAAGTGACCACCTATTCTTTATGAATACATAACTGAAAGCCAATTGACATGCTTATATTTCAAATAAAGCTTTGAAAGTAAATTAGAAATAATGTATCATAATTATTGAGCAGTTTATTGGCTAAAGAGAAAAGAAGGCTTATTATGGGTGGCATTTGCCTGGACAGCACAGGGTCAAGGAAGGAGATTAAAAAAAATATATAGCACAGTAGTGCTGCAAAATTGGCTTAGCAAACATTTTGAATATAGTTATAATACTAAAATATTATTGAGCCCTAGCTGGTTTGGCTCAGTGGATAGAGTGTCAGCCTGCGGACTGAAGAGTCATGGGTTCGAATCCGGTCAAGGGCACATGCCTGGGTTGCAGACTCGATCCCTCATAGGGGGTGTGCAGGAGGCAGCCGATCAATGATTCTCTCTCATCATTGATGTTTCTATCTCTCTCTCCCTCTCCCTTCCTCTCTGAAATCAATGAAGATATATTTTAAAAAATATTATTAAAATAACTTTATGTCCTCCTATTCCAAAATTATACTTCTCATAATGTACATTACCCCACGGTTCTCCAAGTGTGGTCTAATTGTAATCTCTGAACCAGCAATAACAGCATCATTTGGGAACTCATTAGAAATGCAAATTATCCTACCCTACCCTACATCTTCAGATTCAGAAACTCTGCTAATGGGGCCCATCCTTCTGTTTTTGTGCGGGTTCTTAAAAGGTTTTTAGAAAGAGAGAAAGGAAGAGGGAGAGAGAAACGATGTGAGAGTGAAACTTTGATTGGCTGCCACCTGCACGCTGCCTACCAGGGACTGAGCCTACAACTTGGGCAAGTGCCTAGACTGGGAATCAAACCAGCAACCTTTCAGTGCATGGGATGACTGACCCAACCAACGGAGCCACCCCGGCCATGGCTCCTTCTGTGTTTTAACAAATCCTCCTGATGACTCTGATGCTCCATAAAGTGTGGGAATCACTACATAATACAATTCTTCAAAATCAGTGCTACTGTGGACAAAGAGGCACCATTCAAATTTAAATACTTTCACATTAGGAAAAAAGGACTAAACTTTCACTTAAAAATATACATTTGGTCAGTACAAAGATATCCCCACGACAGAAATTTTAGTATAAAAATGTAGAAAGAAGGGATGGAGGGGAAAAAACCCCTCCAACTCTTCTGCTGCTTTCAGTTTGTCTAATTACAACCAGCTCATCTGAAAAGCCAAAGATCAATTCCTATCTTCAAACCACTGGATGTGTCTGCATAACCAATAACTCATCTGCAAGTAAAGGAATTATATTAGAAAAGTGGTTCCCCTCTCTTGAGCCAGGAATCAGAATCTCTAGGGATGAGGCCCAAGAATTTACATCTTTAACAGCAAGCACCCTGGTGAATCCCATGTTCACTTAGCTTTTGGGGCCATTAGGTTAGACAAAACAGTGATACCTAAATATCGTCGTTACCAATGAAGCACATTTATTTAAAAAAACAACTGCAATCCAGTTCCAATCTCTTATGGCTCGCTGGAGGTGTAATAATTCTACTTTTCTGTTGAAGAATCTGCACTAAGGAATTGGACAGAGCCCTGTAAGCTGGAACAGGGATTTCCATGGAACTGCTGTATAGTTGTTCTATAGTATCAGACAAACACCCTAAATTAAAACAGTGATAAACAAAACGGCTTTCTAAAACATTGTAGTTATTTAATGTAGAGTTTAAAATTAAGTAAAAAAATAAAATCTTCAAAAAACAAAACAACCTCCAAGGTTTCACTTAGTGGTAAACTCTTTGGTGCCCTGTCACAGGCCCTTTCCCTCCCCTAAACGTTCCCTGAGGAAAAGAAGGGTGCAATGCCCAGCTGTGCGCTGGAGCCCTCCGCAAATTCTCCAGGATAACAGGGAGGCCGTTATCGCATAATAATAAGCGCACAGACTCTGACATCGGACAAACATCACTTTTATTCCAACTCAGTCATAAGGTCAACGTGCTTATTGGGTGTCTGTAAGCCAGGTTCGTTACCTGCAAACCCAAATCCAACCAGGACTAACGGAGATGTTTGGAAAGCGCTGATCTAATCGCGGGGCTCCGCGGGCACCTTGGCAGACAGTCAGAACAGGTTAGCTCGGGAGTAAGCATGGGATGGTTGGAGGTGGCACGCCTTCTCCTTTTTTCCCCTCTGGAAAGCCAACCAACGCTCTCCCCGCTGAGTCAGCGGGCCCACAGAAAGGTGCACCTGCGAGCAGCCGGGGCTGGGTCCCTTTAAGAGCCCCCCTCCCCCGCCCTTCTCGCGCCCACGCCCAGCGAAGACGGAACCGGAAGTCGTGAGGGACGCGCCGGTCCCCAGCATGGCGGCCGCCTGGCCCTCCGGGCCGGCAGTTCTGGAGACCGCGGCCGTCCAGCTCCTGGGTGTCCTGTGGTTCGTGTCAGTCACCACGGGACCCTGGGGAGCGGCCGCCGCCGGGGGCGAGGAGACGCTGAAGTGCGAGGACCTCAGAGTGGGACAATATCCTCTGTGCGGGGCTCCCCGGCGGGAGGAGGCGGTGGGGTGGCCGCGGGCTAGGGCTGTGCCTGCGGGAGCCGGGACCTGTGGCCTCCAAGCGCCGGGGACGCCGGGAGGTGAGGGGAGATGGGACTGGGAAACACAGGCCGCCCTGGGTAAATCTCCTAGGGATTTTACGATTGTTGGCGCTTTTTCTTCGGACCCACCTGTTTGTTTATGTTTATTTTACTTTTACTGGAGGGTTGGTGTGTGCAACACACACCTAGATCCTGAGGCACGCGCGGTGCTGATCTAGGCACTAGTGACCCAGCGATGGGCAGGGCCTCCCCTGGAAGTTTGCCGTCTCGGGTGAGACCGGTAGTCGTGAATACCGATGAGGCCGGTGTACTCCCCGGGAGTCTTGAACTTTCCAGGATCCTTACCTTTTCTCCTTCGCAAGCTCCCGTGGCGATGCCGCACGGCCAGGGGGCAGGTGCCTGCTGCACTTGGTAGCCGGGGGCAAAGGATTTGAACTCGGTGTGCCCACGATGAGCCGTATAGGTCACAACGGACCAATGAATGGAAAGGTCTGTTGTGATCGCTTAGGACGGTGCCTGGCGTGTAGCAGGAGCTGTAGGTGTGAGCTGCTTCTTTACCGAAGAGAAAGCGGAGGCCGAAGGGGTGGAGTGTCTGCTCGGTGTAACAGTTCTGGTAAACCGAGGCACAGGATGAGATGGGAGCTGCGTGCAAATTAAAATAGCGACCCCTGTACAGAATGAGATACTTTGGTGCAAAGTGCATAACAGAAGAGTCAATAGCAGAAGGCAGAGATAAAGGAAAGATTTTAGGAGGGAAAATCTTAAAATTAAGAGAGTTCTGTCCTATAGTATTTTTGTGTAAGTTGAGGAGAGGCTGTGGTTATTTGTGTGTGTGTGTTTGTTTGTTTTTTGCAGAGCAGCTCTTATTTGTTGAATACCATTTCGTTGAAGTTTGAGAATCAGTAACGTAGCAGGTTGAGTTATTTTTCTCGGCAAAAAGGTCAGGGCCGTTCTCCCAAAGAAAATAATTGGGCAATAGGAAGAGTTGGGCTTTTTGAACCCTAGAGAGAAGTGGCTGAGCATGTAGGACGATAAGGTGGTGACAACGGGAAAATAACTGTTACTCCTGGCATAAAAATGAGGTCTTCAAATGCTGACTCAAAACCGTAAACAGACATTTGTGAATTCCTTACTTGTCTCATTATAGCGTCAATAAAATATGTAGGAAGCAGAAAAGCACCCAAGTGTTTTAAGTATCTGTAAGGATATAATTATTATATCTGTTTCCAAAGGCTTAAAATCCTGTTGGGGAGACCATGTATTGTAGACCCACCGGAAGCACCATCTGCCCAGCAGTCCGATGCACATGCCCTGGGCTTGGAGTCAGGGAACCTGATTTTGCAACCCGTCATTGATATGACGGTGGAGAAGTCGCTCAGACTGTGGGCCTCAGTTTGTGCTTCTGTAATGTGGGAAGAATAGTATCTACCTCACAGGGGTTTCAAGTTACATGAAATTATGTAGATGGCAATACTTGAGGGCCCCGTAAATTAGTTCAGCCCAGCAGTCCGATGCACATGCCCTGGGCTTGGAGTCAGGGAACCTGATTTTGCAACCCGTCATTGATATGACGGTGGAGAAGTCGCTCAGACTGTGGGCCTCAGTTTGTGCTTCTGTAATGTGGGAAGAATAGTATCTACCTCACAGGGGTTTCAAGTTACATGAAATTATGTAGATGGCAATACTTGAGGGCCCCGTAAATTAGTTCAGTCAAATCTCTGGAAACTGATTTTTTTTTTTTTAACCTGAAAGCTCTCTTACAATTATTTGGTAAAAATTTTGATTTTCATTTTTTCTTGTGTGTGTGTGTGCTCTGTGCTTAAACCCTAACTGATGTTCTTTAAGGATGGCATTCTTTGCTACAGCTTTTAGTATACATTAAGTTAATATACTTTTCCTGTAATAAATTAATGTTCAGGTATTATTTAGTGATACTGAGGATATGTTTGTGCTTGTCTTTTTTGACCTGGATAAATTAACAGCCTCCCTTTACATGTGAATATAAACATAAGTATATATGAGATATTAAACAGATGGTAATGTTTTGTGTTGGAATGGAGTTCACATTTCCTTAACTTTTCTTAAATATATTTGTAAAGATCCAAAAATAAATGATGCTACACAAGAACCAGTTAACTGTACAAACTACACAGCTCATGGTAAGACTTCCAGAAACGTGTCTTTAAAAATAAATTTTAAAACACTATTTCATAGATTAATGAATGGTCACTAAAAGTAATTAATGCGTGTGTTTTTTTTCTTGAGTTATAACATTATTCAGTTTCCGGAACAACTTAAAATTGGAGAACTGGCTAGAGGACTTAAAAAAGAATTTTATTCTCTTTAATTATAAAACTAGGATGTTTTATGGTTTCATTCATTTTTTGAAACCTTTGGAATCAATTTATATAGCTGTCTTGATGCCCTTTATTCACCAAGCTATGTTATGCAAAGGTACTGCTTCAGTTAGATTTTTAATTACTTGTAAAGAACTTGAAATGAGATTGTTGGTACAATAAGGTACAATGAGCAGCTGTATCACCCACATTATGCACTTGTAAAATATACATTGATAGTCCAGCTGGCGTGGTTCACTGGTTGAACTTCTACCTATGAACCAGAAGGTCATGGTTAGATTCCCAGTCAGGGCACATGCCCGGGTTTCCAGCTGAATCCCCTGTTAGGGGCATGCAGAAGGCGGCTGATCAATGGTGATTTCTCATTATTAATGTTTCTATTTCTCCCTCCCCCTCTGAAATAAATAAAAAACATATTTAAAAATATATATGTATACTTGGGTACATCTTAAGTATGAGGACAGTATGGTAAGAATTTTAAATATGCATCACTCTTTTTTCTTTTTTTGTATGAGTATTTTCTTAGAGATGTTTTGAAAATGGATAACAAACCCTCATCTAATGATTTTGGGGACCATCTATTCTAAAATATGTGTAATACCACAGTCAGGGCATGTGCCCGACTAGGAATTGAACCCACAACCAACGTCTCAGTGCATGGGTCAGCGCTCCAACTAACTAAGCTACACCAGACAGGGTTGGCTGTCGGTCTGTCTATCTATCATGTAGCTTTTCTTATCTAAATTAAAATCTCATGTCAGATGTTCTATTGGGAGGTGGTTTGCTACATGTTATATTCTCTTGTGTGCTTTGCTAGTCTTAAAAAAAACAACACATAATCACACCTTTCCTACAAAAAAAAATGATTTCTTGCCTTTTTCTGCCTTCAGTTCCATGTTTTCCAGCACCCAACATAACTTGTAAAGATTTCAGTGGCAATGAAACACATTTTACTGGACATGAAGTTGGTTTTCTCAAGCCCATATCTTGCCGAAATGTGTAAGTACCTTACTGAAGTTAAATTTTCAGATCACTTGCTTATGTTGTATCTTGATTGCATGCAGTGAAGAGATAAAGAGGTAATTTATGGGGAAAGTTCTTCACTAATTTAACTTTTTGCTTGTATCAGAAAACTTCTTCTTTAAGTGTGCATATTATATTGTTTTATAAATGCAATTTACCAACCAAGTAAAGCTCTATTGTTCACTACTTGGGATAAATGAAGACTGAATGGCCTTATGCCATGTCAGTTCAGTCATTTAGGCTACCCAAATGAGTTAGGAAAAAATTATGTTCTCAAAATTTGGGGGATTTCTAGAGTTCAAAATAAAGGATTGAGATGTGTACTGTGCTATAAAAGAATGCTACTATAGTCATTGCATATAAGGGAATTTGAGACTTGTTTCATTTTTGTAGTAGGCATGGATGATGAATGGTAATGTAAAACAATTCAAATGTTAGTTTGGGATATTAAGATAAATGGCTTTATTTTGTTAGGAATATTCTTTGTTTAAAGGTCTTTTAAGTTTGCTTTTAATTTTGCTTCAGTAAAGCTAACATTTTATTCCTCTATTTTTGCTTTGTGCTAAAAGCTTAGTTTTATTCACTTTTATTAATTGCTGGCACTATACTTTTACCTTTTAACTGTACATTGTTGCAGCTATTTGATGATATCTATTTGAATTTATAAAAAAAATAACCACTGTTTGGCTTTACAAGTACTATTAGAATTCTTAGAAATTACTATTAGAGCTTTTTTTTTTCTTTTGACCCTACTTCACTGAATTAATGAGTGGCTTTAGATTCTATCTTGCTAAGCCAATCATTTAGGATTCTTGGCTTCTAAGAGTTCTCATTAGTAAAGTAAAAATTGTTAAAAGGAATTATTTCCAAAGTATTTAGATATGGTTTAGACAATTTTGAAATTTATAGATTGATATTTCTACCTTAAACTTTCCAAATGACAATTTATTAAGTGCTGGTCTAAGATATTCGGCTACTAGAGGCCCGATGCATGAAATTTGTGCAAGAGTAAACCTTCCTTCCCCCAGTGCCAGCCACCGGCAGGCACCCGGGACCCAGGTTTCCCTGTGGCTGCCGGCAGGCACCCAGGGACCCGTGCTTTCCCGCAGCCCTGGTTTCACCTGATGTTAGGTCGTCCGGTCTAATTAGCATATTACACTTTTATTATTATAGATAATACAGTAACTAAGAATATCGTCTGTTGAGAATAGCTAGCCACTCAGGTTGGACTTTACAGTAGTTTTCCATGATCTCTCAGAGCAAAAGGCAGAGTCTTTACAATCGTATTCAAGGTCCTGCATGAGCTGTCCTGTTTGCCCCCTATTACCTCTCTGACGTTGTCTTCTATTCTTCCCTTCTCCCCCTTTACTCCTGCCACAGTGTCCTCCTTAATAGACCTCAAACATGTAAGGTGTGCTGCCTTTGTAAATAGCAGTGTGTTGTCTGGGACACTCTTCCTTCAGAGGCATGACATGGCTGACTCACCTCCCTAAGGTCTTTGCTCAAATATCACCTTCTCAGTAAGCCCTCTAATCACCTTATTTAAATGGCTCCTGTTTGTATCCCTAACATTCTGGATTCCTACACACCCTGTTCCATTTTTTTTCATAACATGTATGGCTTTCTTAATATATGATTTACTGTAAATATTTTTATTGTTTGCTGCCACTAGATTGTTAGCTCTTTAGGGGCAGGGATCTTTGTCTCTTTTATTCATTAAAATATCCCAATAGCCTAGAATAGTTCTTGGCATGCAGTAGCTACCCAAAAAGCATTAATTGAATGAATGAATGAACTAATTAACAAGTAAATAATAACTAGCAGTTTTGTTTTCTAAAATGTTACATGTTGAAGGTGACACTCAGGTTCTAATTTTGTGCAGAAATGGCTATTCATATAAAGTGGCTGTTGCACTGTCTCTTTTTCTTGGATGGTTGGGAGCAGATCGATTTTACCTTGGATACCCTGCCTTGGGTGAGTATGTTTCATTAAAAAAATCCTTGTGAAACTTGTGTGGTAGGTAAATGTACCTATTCTTATAGATTAAATCTCTGCATATTCTACCTGGAGTAGAATAGTTAATATTCTTCTGTGAATATAGGGCTCTATACTTCAGCTTGGTTAAGAAATACTGACTTTTCATCTATCTTCATCTTTGTGAGAACACATACTCGAGATAGTGTAGTCACTTACTTAGGACAGTGACTGAGCTCATTGCTAGTGCTGGGCACACAGTGAGTGCTCGATAAATATTTTATGAATAAATTAGCATTTCTCCAAAAAATATTTTCTTCTATCTGAACCTCTCTCAGTGTTGGCTTGGGAATAGAACTATGGAAGCCAGCATAAGCTGGTATGGACCCTGACTTTTATTATCCTTCGCATACCTCCTCCCCACACCTTCCTCTTAGTTGTAATCTTCACATTTACCATAGCTAGTAAAGTTTATGAAAACTATTTACATTTGATGATAGCTTTTATTTAAGCAGTACTTTCACATGTCAGCCCTTATTTAAGCCTTGCAACTCTCTTGAGTTTATCATCGTCTTTAAATCTTCTTTAACAGGTAGGGAAATTGTCACCAGAGAGGTTAAGGGATTTACTGCCTCTAGAGGCCTTGCTTTATACTGTGACAAATTTGTTGTTATCATTCTCGTTTTATGGATAGGGAAATTGTCATGAGATTAAGAGATTTGCCCAAGGACACTCAGTGACCTGAATTTGAACCCCAATTTTCCGGCTCAAGAGATCATGCTTTATTTACTGTAGTGCTCCGCTTCTACATTAACTCTTCACTGAGCAAATTTAAAGTTTCTGAATGCTCTTCTTTCCAGCTAGCAAAGCGAATCTTATTCTTTTCATGTTGCTATGCACCAGAGATCAAAGAAGAATCTTCCCTGTGAGGTTGGTGGGAAGTATGTTTCTGACAGCCTTACCTGGAGCTCAGTGTTATAAGGTCCTAAATAGAAGTCAATGTTTAAAATACTGTATACATGAATTTATTCAGTTAACAAACATTTATTCAGCATTTACTATCTTTAAGGAAGTAGTAATTAAGTGCTCTGAAAATAATGATGATCACAGTTCATATTGGCTATAAAAACAATGAATATGTTTGTAGGTCAATTTATGATGTAGCACTACTATAGAACCATAGCAAAGTCCTATGAGAGCACAGAAGTGACTGGTTTTGTCATCCTTAGAGTGTGAGGGAGGCCTTCTTAGATGGGGTGACATTGAACTATGTTTTGAAGGATAAACTGATTAGGGAGATTAAGGGCAATACTGGGAATAGCATGTCAAAGGCAACAGGGTATGAAGAAGCATGTGTGCATGTTGAAAGAGTGGTGGCTACATTAGCCTGTGGTGTAGAAGGAACAATGACAGGAGGTGAAAAGTGACTGCACAGGTATTCTTTGGTCAGATTATAAAACTTTGAGTCTTCGTAGGGAGTTTGGACTTCACCCTTTAATGTCAGAAGCCCTAAAAGTTTGTAAGCAGAGGAGTATCATGGTCAGATTTATATTTCAGGAAGGGTAATGGCTTAAACAGAGAAAGACTGGTAGCAGAGTAAGCTGAAGAGAGATTGATGCAGTAGTCCTGGCCTGGTTATGGTGTAACTGCACGTTCATGCCATTTGTAACAGCAACCATACCTTTCTATAACAGCGGAAAGCCATATAATATGCATGGAAGGCCTCCAAGTTATCAGAACAAATATCATTTAGTTTGTATTACTCTTTTTAGATTATGGATGGATGGGATGGATGGGTGGGTGCATGGTTAGACAGAGAATTTAGGTTCATAATGAGAAAGTAAAATGACATGGTGATATCAGATGGTTAAAATACAGCCAAAGCCTTCTGCCTTAGTCCTTGCATTTTCTGTTATGTTCTCTTTAAGAGGATAGGATCATATATATATATATACACACACACACACACACACACACACACACACACACACACACACACTAGAGGCCCGATGCATGAAAATTCATGCAAGAGTAGGCCTTCCCCCAGCTCCCGGCACCTGCTTCCCTCCAGCACCCGGGACCTGGGCTGACTTCCCTCCGGCCCGGCTTCATCAGGAAGAACATCCGGAATGATGTCTGGAAAACGTCTGGTCTAATTACTATAGTACCCTTTTATTATAGATTTTTTGAAACATTTCTAACTTTTAAAAAGTTTTTAAAAGATTAAGAGAAAGGAGAAAACACTGTTCTTTAGAACAGTTTATTCTGTGATGATTTTGAATTGTGAATATGTTTTAAATATTTGGCATAATGAGTGGCATTTTAGCTTCCTGTAATGCTTGGCCCCTGAGCTGTAATGTCCTATAGTATAAGTTAATGTTTTTACTTACTGCAACACATAATAATATGTTGATATGTGCATTGTGAAATTTTTTTCCCTGTACAATTAAACTATAGGTATAAAGCTCTGTATAAAACTCTATAGTAGTGGCCCTGGTGAGGTTGAATCGGCCCCGGTGAGGTTGAAACGGCCCATGTGAGGCTGAGATGGCCCCTGTGAGGTTGAATCGGCCCCTGTGAGGTTGAGACGGCCCACGTGAGGCTGAAACGGCCCATGTGAGGCTGAGATGGCCCCAGTGAGGCTGGGACGGCCCCGGTGAGGCTGGGACGGCCCTGGTGAGGTTGAGACGGCCCATGTGAGGCTGAAATGGCCCCTGTGAGGTTGAAATGGCCCCTGTGAAGTTGAGACGGCCCCTGTGAGGTTGAGATGGCCCATGTGAGGCTGAGACGGCCCATGTGAGGCTGAGACGGCCCCAGTGAGGCTGGGACGGCCCCGGTGGGGTTGCATAGGCCCCGGTGGGGTTGCAACGGCCCCGGTGAGGTTGAGACGGCCCTGGTGAGGCTGAGACGGCCCGGTGAGGCTGGGACGGCCCCAGTGAGGTTGAGATGGCCCCGGTGAGGTCGAATCAGACCTGGTGAGACTGAAACGGCCCCGGTGAGGTTGAATCGGCCCCTGTGAGGCTGGGATGGCCCCTGTGAGGCTGAGATGGCCCCTGTGAGACTGAGACGGCCCCTGGGAAGCTGAGAAAAATACCACATGAACTCACTCATTTATGGATAATAAGGACCATTATAGACTGATGAACAAAAATGGATACAGAGGCAGAACAGCATTGAGCAGAATGTCAAACTACAGTGGGAAGCCTGGGGAAGGTTGCGGGTCGGGGGGGTAGGAGATCAACTGAAGGACTTATATGCATGCATATGAGAATAACTAATGGACACAAGACACTGGGGGATGGGGGAAGCCGGGGGAATGTCAAGGGGGGGAAAAAGGGAGACATGTGAAATACTCTTTGTAAAAAAACAAAAACAAAAAACCCCCAGAAAACTCAGGGAATGTAAAAATTAAAAATAAATAAATAAATAAAGTGTAGCTCTACCCAAAAAAACAAAAACAAAACCCAACCCAAACTCTATAGTAGCTTTGGTTAGTGAATGTTAGTTCACTAACTTTGGCAGGAGTTGCCTTTCTCTGGCTATTGCTACTCCAATCTATTATTAGCTTCAGTCAAAGAGAACCTTTTAGTTTGAGTCTGAGATTCTATAAACCTTCAAATATAATTAACATTTAACTTTATGGCTCAGTGTAAAGGTATTTTTAAAAAAATCTTTAAATAACTCACTTTATTATCACATGCACCTTTGGATGTTCATTAATTCAATAATTTATTTTGACTGTTGATTTAGATACAGTTTCTCAAGATTAGGTCTGTGTTACAGCTCCTGAAGTTTTGTTGTCTTATCTTCCATTATCTTTATTCCATTTGGTTTGTGATTTAAAAATCCCTTTACCATTTTTAAGTGGGATTTTGGTGTGAGAATTGCTAAGTGGGCATGTCAAATTCATTATCTTTAACTGAAAATCCTCTTATCTCTTTAAGCATTCAAGTATTTTTATCTGTATCTTACTTGCATTTAAGCTATCTTAATGTTAAAGATTAGTTTTATCAATTAATCTAAAATACTATATCAAATTACAATGTTTTTAAATTTTAAATTTTTTAGTTAAATTTTAATTTTTACCATGAATCCAAAGTTAAGGAATTTTGGTATTTTCAATTTAAATGATTACTTCCATTTATCTTTAACTGAAAATCCTCTTATCTCTTTAAGCATTCAAGTATTTTTATCTGTATCTTACTTGCATTTAAGCTATCTTAATGTTAAAGATTAGTTTTATCAATTAATCTAAAATACTATATCAAATTACAATGTTTTTAAATTTTAAATTTTTTAGTTAAATTTTAATTTTTACCATGAATCCAAAGTTAAGGAATTTTGGTATTTTCAATTTAAATGATTACTTCCATTTAAAAAAAATTCTTAACTGGATAAAACAATGTTGACTGGTATATAATCCTATTTAATTATAATCTTATGCAATCTTTATGGTTACAAAAAGCAGTATTTATAGATAGCTTTTAAAAATACTTCTTTTGTTTATGGTCATTGGAGTTTTATAAGAACAGAATAAATAATATAAATCAGATACATATGAAACTTGTTTTTTAAAAGTAATTTAGTGATGAGTATGATAATTTACTGTATAAATTTTACTTCAGGATTAAACAAGGGACATTTGTTGGGGGTGAAATTGCATAAAATTTTATAAAAATATAAAAATTCCTTTAAGAAAAATTGTCATTCTGTATATTTTAAATTTCTTATTAGTCCACAGTTATGTTTTAAAGAATAAAAGTCAGATGGGTAAATTTGAAAAACTTTTTTTTTTAATATATTTTTTTAAATGATTTCAGAGAGGAAGGGAGAGGGAAAGAGAACGAGAAACATCAATGATGAGAGAGAATCATTGATCGGCGGCCTCCTACATGCCCCACACTGGGGATCAAGCCTGCAACCCGGGCATATACCCCGACCAGGAATTCAACTGTGACCTCCTGGTTCATTGGTCAATGCTCAACCACTGAGCCACTCTG